TAGATATTAGATCTTGTAATGGGAAAATACCATTTGTTGGCTGGATCTAGATCGGCCAATGGGAAAAACAGATTGCTGAATGGGGATCCTGCCGCCTAATAGTGGTGCAGAGTTCAGATGTAGCTAGCAAGCAAGCAGTATCGATCAACACGAGCTGAAAGCTGTATGTCAAAGGGTCCTGCAAGCACTTTTGGTACGTTCTTTTCTTACTATGCAATGTCTACTACTACACTTGTTCCGTGATGCCTTCACTGGCTGGCCACTCCTCGTCACCAATGGCTCGTCCGTGCACTGAAGGGCTACATCGAACTGAGTGCAGAGGCCAAATCAACGGGTAGACTGAAACAGAGAAACATCTCTGTATACGAGCCTAGAGAACCCTTCGTTTCATCTTCTTCTGTCGCAACAATTTGCTTGCAGATCTTTCCATCCTCAAAGTGAAAGTAGAGTGTTTCGGGAATAGTATCGTGTCTCGTCCCTGATAATAATGATGCGGGCTGGCCAAATGCATGGAGCTGGGTTGTAACGTTCTTGACAATCAAGTTGTGCAAGACAACTACTCCATCATTTTTGCGCTCTTCGATGGAATCATAACAAAAGTGAAAGTCTGGAAAGGCATCATAGATTTTCTTGGCCTCGGCAGCATATTCATCATAGTCCATCTCCATGTTGTCTGCTGCTGCAAAACCAATGGCAAAATCGTTGGTAACCATTTCTCTGGCACCATCCATGTCATGTTGGTTCCATTTCTTCAGAAAGGCACGAACTAGGTCAGTCTTCCAGCTCTGAGTCTCGCTTGTTGGTGTTGGAGGCGTCTCACTTCTGCTTCTTGTGAGAATATAACCATGATTGCTGCTTTCACTACTTGACGTTGTTGGGTCCTCTTTGTCAATGCTGGTGGATTTTTTCTTCTTTCGACTGAGCAACATCTTTAGTGGCTTGAACTTGAACATGGATCGGCTGCTGCTTCCTGCTGACTTTAGCTTAAACATGGTGTATTGCTTGGATTGTGTTGGGTTGTTTTCGTTTTGTGGGCTGTTTTTGTTTTTGTGAGCTCCGTTTTTTGTGGGCTCCGTTTTTGTGTGTACTGGTAAAGATATGAAGCAAAGATCCAAGCAGTCAGGAGTGTGCGACGTTGGTTGTACCATCCAGACAAACCTTGCTTGGAGACGGAAAACCGTCCATGCGGGGCTTACCGGTATCGAGCATGCAAAAACAAAATCGCAGACGTCCTCACCGGTTGTGTCATCGGCTGTGTTATATTAGTACCACCGGTACTGGTCAACTCGCGACGTCGAAATCTTACTTTCCCACAAGAATCTTTTGAAGAGCGTACCGGTACTACCGTAGTACTGGTACGGGTACAACCGAGCATGCAGCAGACATCCGGTTCTTGTACGGGCTGGCGTATGCAAACGACTTTCCCACAAGCGGATTTTTATAATCAAAGGACCATTGCTTGAGTTTCGACGTATGAATAGAATCCAGAATGCATGCTTTTTGTCCGCGACACACAGCTACGATACGTGAATTGCAAAAACCTCGCAGTGCTGAACTGCTTGAGCATAAATGAATGTACCAAGACAGACTGGAGCTGGAACAGCTACCAAGGACGTCTCAAATGGATAGCCAAGTGATTGTATATCTGATACTACTATCAGCATCATTGCATGCTCTACGGAAGCAGGAGCAGCGAAAGAAATCGTATGATCTACGAAGGAAAGTCTCAAATGGTTAGCGAAGTGATCATACCAACAACATTGTAAGCAACCTCCAAACCGCCTTGCAGGTCATGCCTCGTTCGTGGTAAGGTCCGATGCTGGCAACCATCAACAGGTCACCAACGCAGGAACTCTTACAGAGCTAAAGCGAACTTCGCAGGAACGGATAAATGTTTACCTAAAGCAAGCGCAGGTCCGTAACGCTTGAGACCGAGCACTTTACAATCTGTAGCATCTCAGCGATGGCATAAGTTAGTTGCTGTTGCTTCTGTGAATTCGCCCTGGATAGCGGCAAAAGCGTGTTCTGCGAGCGTGGAAGAAGGGCATATCCACGAGGATTTGTGGACGTTTCCAGCTCTGTTGGCTGCTTCGGAGCCGCGGCACATCCAGACGCGTCCTCTCTCGTGTCATTGGGACGAGGGATGCCTTCGCTTTGACGACGGTGTTTTCAGGAGTGGTACTTCTCATTGCTCATCGTGGTGGTAGTCGGGCAATGTGACACAAAGGGAATAGAGCAGCCTTGAAAGAGAATGTCGAGCTTGTTGATTTGACTGGTCGACATCGGTCACATCTATCTTCTACTCAGTACCGTGGTAGCTACACTGGAAAAGGGAGTGAACCGAAGCCCGGACGTCGACCTCAAGTGAACCACAGTTTTGAAGTCCAGCTGCTACGGTACATGCACGAGTACTTCCCGAGTAACAGCAAGTTGGGGTTACAAGGGTGTTGAAGCACCTTCCTTTCTTCCTCTATGTGACTTCAATGTCCATCTTGAAACTCATTCAGGTTCATGATCCTCTCTCCTTGTTGCGAATTGCGAATGCACCCAGTTGCACCACTTTTCTTTCATCGCTGCACATCGCTGCACCTGCAGTAAGACCAAAGTATGAATCCTTAAATGGCTGACAACCCCAACCGAATGGTTCCTCTCCAGCTGCACCTGCGTTCTATGTTTTTAATATGAGAGTGCTGTGGGAGAACCTGCCGCTCGAAAGTTGCGTGATAAAAAGACATCTTGAAACGAACCGACGACAGGCAGTGTTACCATTGTAGTCATAGGTAATCAGACAACAGACTCTGTACATACAACCATACAACTGCAACAACCAAAGGGCAGTAAACAAAAGCAAGTTGAAGCTTCTAATTATTAACTTGTCGGCGTTGCTGGGACCTGGATGACCACCTTTTTCTCAGACACCAAAGTTTCCCATGCATAAAATCCTTTCCAGGTTTCACAAAAGCATCAGATTCTCTCTAAACGTAAACAAACGCTCTCTTCACAAGCAAGATGGTAGCTGTCCACATCAATGATCAAGTTTTCAAGCGGGTCTCTTTCAAAGAGGATGCCCTGGCAACGGTGCACTACATCCCGTCCTTGGACAGCCTTCCTATCCGTGACATGTTTTACGACAGCGATGACTACGAACGATTCCTCTGGGAACGAAACATGGAAATCCAACGAGATATGCGCAAGAAAGTACACGCCTCTGGTTACAGAAGGTCCACGCGACGATCCAGCCTTGATCTCATGATGACAGCAGCCCCAACCCCCAAGTCGGCAGGACCAAGGCAATATTATCGTCCTCGCGATCCAGTTCGAACACCAGCACCAAACGGGCGTAGCTATCCTCGGAAGGGCGCTCAAGGCACTGGAATGGCCCTTGCTGCCTAGACGTTTCTTCGCCCCGCCTGAAGGCCTTTTGGGTGAGCGCCATGTACAGATCAAAAACGATGAAAAAGACTCGCTCCTTGCAACCGCCTGCAATGCATAATGTACAAAGACCAATCAAACGTAACCGATTCAGACAATATTTTTTTCTGGCTTCGTCTTGAATGTAGTTTTACAGTAGTATGCGCATCAATCGCTGATTTGTGCTTGCCCGATGACATCATGCCCTCGCCCCATGTTCAACTTGGCCCAACACTGAGCAAGGATCCCTACTTTGGGATTACAATGCCTCGCATTTGCCACAACGACATTTCCCCAGTGTGAGGGAGTGTATTGTTGTTCCTTTTGATGCTCAACAGCTCGGCGTCCAAGGGCAGAAAAAAGGGCTCTGGCAAGCCTTCCGAGGGACTTCCCCAGAGGCATGGAGGCAAAGCAAGGTACCCTCTTTCATCGCCATAGGCGCCATGTCCGTCATCTGACTGCCCGTAGATTGGTTCCACTCGGCAGAGCAGCTGGCCAGTATTGGCGTGGTACAATTCCATGGAAAGACAGGAATTGGCATGACAATGAGCCGATGCAAAAATGAGATTGATACCGGCGGTTAGGGTGGCATTGGTACTGCCAATTCCAGTGCAAAAGGAGGCATCCTTGTGTGTTCCACAGTCATGCAGCAAGTCTCGGACGCTGAACCGGGACGTGATGACATGGATGCATTGAGAAGGAGGTGTATTGTTGCTGCATTGGGCAATGTCGTATTCCCCTGCATTGCCTTCAGTGGCCCAAATCAGACGGACCAAGTTTTGGTGAGACGGCCCGTGGTCAGATCCTTCTTCTTCTTCGGTGGCAGTTGTTGATAGTTCCTGACTTTGTTCAATTTGACCATCAGCATCAGCAGGAGCTGCAACTGGCATGTATTCTTCAAAGTAGAATCGAAACTTGAGTTGGTACTCCAGATACTGATCAGGCCATGGAATGCTCTGATTATGATCCAACAAGGACTGTCCATGGTTGCAGCAATAGAGCCCACCCTGATAGGTTTCAATCTCACAAGTTGGATTGCGATGCTGTTTCAAGTCGCCTCTTGGAAAGCTGGGACACCGGCCCTCTTGACGAAACTTTCGATTCTGAATGGTCCCTTCAATGCCGGATCGACAGATTTCATTGGTTGTTTCGGGACGTAGGAATTGCAAGTCACCAGGGCCATGGCCGCAATGCTGGGCAAATGTCATATTACAGCCTCGCGCCATGATAATGGGCAGGCTTTTCTCGTCCACATCATCAAAGGAAAAGACGGCACCTCGTCGTGGTCTGGTCACCACAACGGTTCGATTGCCGCCCACAATGTCATTGCGATGAACTTTCCACGTACGGTCGTCGTCATGAGGAAGGACTGTACCCGGTCCATGATTTCCCAATTGACGCTCTTGGACAGTATCACCCTCTACAATAATGGCATAGGGTCCTCCATCCGGACATTGATCGGATTGCGCATGTCGACACATGCTGTGGCTACCGAACCCCACTCCGAACCATTTGTCCGGAGGTCCCACCAGCATAATGATCACAGCATCGTCGGCATTTGAATTCTGTATCGCAACGGTAATGTTGATGGCGCCGGCAGCATAGGCAACCTTGTCTGCCTCAATGACAGTCGAAGCAACAGCACTGTGAAGATTGTCGTCATTTTCTAGGCGAGTGCGGCTCTGCAACATCCAAGAAGATGCCTCTCGAATGTCACTGGATTCTGCAGCCGTGGAGGTCTTGTTGTGGTTCCAAAAGACATCCACAGTTCCATTGGCATGTTGCACAAGACTACATCCCACTGGTTTGTTCATGGCCATGGAACTATTATTTCCCGTGGAAGAAAAGTGTCGAAAGACAGATCCCTTGGTCACCTGCTCGGCACTGGCCCAACATTCGGCTTGTGATTGGACGGGATCGTCACAGTGATTATCATTGTTGCTGTTGTCTTGTTGTTCTTGTTGTTGCAGCAAATGATAACTAATATTCCACTGTTTGACAATGCGATCGCTGCAGGGGCATTCCAAGAGACCACTATATCCGGCCGTCGGGGGAATACGGGATCTCCGAGGCAAAGGTCCCGGCTGGAACTTGGCAGTGGGTTCAGCACGATTCCAAGTGTCAATCTGCATGGGTTGCAAATGAAAGGTATCCGGAGACGCAATCAATTGAGCGTATCCCTTGGGATAGCCGTGGTACGACAGTCGCATTTCTCCACCGTTGCCTAGTAAGGGAAACACATAGAATGCAAAAAGATAAGTTTGTGGGCAACACACTTCACAACCATCTGCGCTAGTAAGGCACTACTAACCTTCGGAAAAGAATTGAACCATGGGATCCCCACCACCACCCGTTCTATCATCATCGTCCATGAGCAGTTGGGTGGCCCAGTGTTCGTCACTGCCATGGGTCAATCCAGCGCGAATGATTTCTTCCGATGCTGCTTTTTTGACGAGTTTGGCTCGTTTGGAATTGACCAACCAAGAACAATAGTGATGATTGTACGCGTGTGTAATGGGGACGGGAGTATCGTCTCGATGGACTTGATCGACTTCATAGCCCACCACGGCCATGGTTTTATTCCGAAAGCGCTCCACGACATGATGCGGTAGTGGAACGGGTGGCATGGAAGCCCAAAAGACCTCCGAGTATCGTGTCTTGATCACGGCCGAATAGACTTCAAAGTACTCGGCGGTATAGTCAGTCGAGTACTGCTGTTGAGCGGATGACGACGATGACGAGAGACCATTGGCAATTTTGTATTGGCCAGAAACGCCATTCATGTTCTTGGCGGATGCTGTCACCAACAAGAAGGACAGCAGTATACAACATGTAGATGCCAGAGGCGGCAGGAGGGAGTCTAGACAAAGCATCATGGTGATGAAATGTATCTTTGGAGTTGGACGTTGCAGCACTCGAGATGCCGGGAAAAATAGCTAGCTCACTGAAGCCTTCTACCGGTACCGGTACCGGTACTAGCTAGCAGAGTGACAGTCGAGTCGAGTCAAGTGACAGTCGAAGATTCGCACCCTCCAAGGTTTGTTCTGAGAGAAAAGAGCATCAGAACTTTAAATGGCAATAATATTGTATAATTTCAACAGTGACCGTAGTAGCTAGTAGAGTTCAGATAGCTACCGGTAGGTGAAATTGAGTTGTGAAACGGCACCAAGTCAGCCAAACTCCATCATCCAATCAGGTTCATCCATCATTTGAATGTGCAAGTACTGTTCAAGTGCAAGTCATTGTCAGCCCGATACTTGTCCCTGATTGGTGGATGGGCTATTTCTTCTCAAAATTTGACGCCACTGATGTCAGAAAGCAAGAATGAAAGTTCGAAAGAATTTCTGGAGAGGCACTTCCATGCAACAAGGCGGGACTTAAGCTGTGATGGGAAGCTGTGACCATGGTGATGGATGTTGGATGATGGATGATGGAATTCTCACACTTTCGCACCAACCTGTAGTACCTTTCAAGCTAGTAGCCTCGTTGTTGTCTCTTGCAGTAGTCTCTCTCTCGCTCTCTCTAGTTTGTGGCCTGACCCATCATTGGACATGGTTGCTTCAGCGCAGAAATGGGTGCTGTTGAATTGCTTGCTGTTCCAAGGCGGCGTTGTGGATGCCTTTGTGAGCCCTCCTCCGATCAACGCCAATGGAAAGGTAGCCGCCGCAAGTACTGCTACAAGACACAATCTGGCAGCAATGGAATTGGCTGATGGATACAATGAAATGCTGGCGCAGTATCCATTGGTAACGTCTTCCTTTACTTCGGGTTGTTTGTCAGGGCTGGGAGATGCCATTGCCCAGCACAAGGAGGGTAGAGAACAAGGACCACCACAAGTAGAAGAAGAGAAGAGGAGCAAGTGGCTACCACAAATAGTCAACTTTGATACCAAGCGCAACCGTCGATTCATCATCAAGGGATTGGGTGGAGGACTCATCTGGTTGTTTTGGTTCCGATTGGCCGATGAGATTACCCAATCGGCAGTTATGCCCTTCACGAGTCTGGGAGGTATCAGTACCGACGAATTGGTACTATCATCGACCAGTGGATCACTGCCAGAACAGGCCACCGCCATTATCATTGGTACCACCATCCTTTCCATTCTCTTGGATCAGTTCTTGGCGTCTCCAGTGGTATTTGCCTTGTGGGATATACCCGTACCCATTCTACTCTCCAAGAGTATGGAGGAAGAATCAACAGAAACTTCTCCTCCCAAGCAACAACAACAACAACAACAACCGCAACAAGAAGACTTGCACGTGCACATTCCACAGCAGATTCAGGACAAACTGGGAGGTCTGCTTGTGGCCAATGCCAAAATATGGACCTTTGCCAATGCCATTATCTACAATCTACCCTTGGAGTATCGGGTCGTAGCGTCCAGTGTCACCGATCTGGTTTGGCAATCCATTGTCTCGAGTCATGTCAACACGGACAGTCGGGCAGCAGCAGTTCCGGTACCCGACAGGAGATCATCTCCAGTATTGTTTTGAACAACAAGCTAACAAGAAAAACAACTTCCTCGCAGGAGCAAAATGAACAAAAAGAAAAAACCATATAGTAGAGTGCGAGAGGAAGAACGTGAACATACATAATATACAGAATAGGATTAATAACGCAGGCTAGCTAGAATTTCTTTTATCATGTCAAAGAACAAACAAAACTCAAAAAGTCAGTTGACTGTTTCAGGCCAGAAGGGCTTGAGAACAACCCATAAGGAGCCAAGGCCCCAGGTGTTTCCCAAAGTCTAGTAGTCTGCCCATTGGCCACACTCACTGGCCCCATGAGAGGATGTGACACCGTTATTGGCTGCTATCTAAGGATTTGGCTGTACACGCACTGCTGAGATTTGAGCTATGGTTGCCATGCCACAGGTCATTTGCTCGTGTTCTTTGTGTCAAGCAAAAAAGTCTGTGGATGACACTTTAGGGTACTAGTACGACACTATGCCATACAACATCTAGCTAGAGTAGCTACATGCAACTACAGTAATGGGAAGCAACAGTATGGGAACTCAAGAAAAGAAAACTTATGTAGTCTAATTCAATGTAGCCATCAACAATGCGGGTGCAACCCTGGACACCATGAAGCCTACCACCATGTGCACAGAAGACTGCCCCAGGCTTGGAATCGGTACTGCAGCATTGTTTTTTTAGCTACGGTATGTAGTGCGGTACCAACCGCGTGGGTGGCTGTTTGCCTCTCAGCTTGCTGCTATCCGGACCCAAGCGCAATACTAGTCTACTTTTACTGCACCGTACCGGTTACATGTACGCTTTTGGCTAGCTAGCCAGTCTGCAATGGCGTAAATGTTTTCTCAACGAAAAAGAAAAGTTATTTCCTCTTTATTAATTATTACGTTTTCTAAAATGGTTGCCTCTTACTGAACGAATCGAATCAGTCCGTTCAGTAACATGCCACCAGTACAAAGCCAAAGACACCATGTTGTCTCCTGCCTCTCTCAAATCTCCTCTCTTATCCTTGAAAGTCTTTTGGTGTGTCACTACCTTTGTTGTCCTTCAAAACGAAGCACGTGGACGGATACGAGCAGGAAGTTCCAAATTGGATCTCAAACACGGCCGTCCGACCGATGCCAGGTTATTGTCTTTGGCAATGTCACTCTTGTCATAAGACAATGTCCCGGGAGGAGGCATTTCCAAATTACCATTGCCATTGGCCACCAGATCCGACTTTGATAATTTCAAAATGGCATTCTCAAAGGAAACGGCACTAATCCCGGTCAAATGATTGCTGGAAATGTTGCACTCGGAAATCTGCGCCAGACCCTGCTCCAAGTACACTCCCGAGTGCCCCGATGTCACGCGCGGTGTTCGAGTGGACGGTGGCAGACGACTCCCAATGCCATTGCGAATGACATCCGTGTGGGTCACATACGCAGAACTGCCCGGTCCTCCAATGTACAAGCCCGTGGCGGCACAATCGTGAATCATGCAACGCTCCAGCTCGACTGTACCGCCATCCAGACAGACAACACCACGTCCCGATTTGGACGAAATGGCGATATGGTCGAGGAGTGCCGATGGTTTGGGGACGACCGGTTCCGGGACATTGTCGGCTCCCATGGGAGGCTGGACCTGAATGGCGGCATTGCCATTCCAAATATCGACTCCCTGACTGGCATGTACCAGGTCCACTTTGCACAGTCGGAATGCTCCCTGACGAATCCGCACGACCGGTTCATTCAGACGGCGCGTGCGCAAAACAAGAGTCGCCCGTTCTGGGTACTGGGGCGGAGTCATGGACGGTGAGGTGGCCAACATTTGGATGCGGTGGGTATCCTGAATGCTGAGACTGCCGCGATGGCCGTCATTGTTGTTGTTGTTTTGGTTAAGGAACACGAGTGACTGTTCCGATGTTTCCGAATCATCAAAGCTAATATGCTCGGCATCACTGGACAAATTTCCTGGAACCGCCGAAGCAGCCGACTTGCATCCGAGAAAATACTGTCGCAGAGGACTGTTTCGACCTTTGGATTTTGGTTCGGGTGACGACTGAGCCTGTTGTTGTTCGGCAAACGCTAGTTTTGGCGAGTAAAATCGGTTCTTTGGTAGTTCCATGGTTTTGAGTGTGACCGTGACATTGGGAGCCGCCGTGACGACCAACGATTCCTTGACGACATGTTTCCCAGGTCGCAAGAGAATCTCTACAGATTGTGTTTGTTCCTTTTTGGATGCCACGGGGCGAATGTACTGAGAGACACTTTGGTGGTTGTTGGATCTCTTCTTGGTCACAATCGCCATGGCTCTGGGAATGGTGGGGTAATCGATGGGGACACAAGGATGCAACCGGTAGTATTCTTTCCAGGACTCGGGCATTTCATCCTGTCCTTCTTTCCACTGGAATATTCCAAAATAAACAAAATGAGAGAGTGACCAGAATTCTGGTTAGTTAACTAGATAGATAGAAACCAGCAACGCTTCTAAATATAACAAAAAGAAAGAGCACGACATACCTTGTACAATCCCTCACAGAGTCCTCTCCAAATTCCGTCATTGTGAGCAATCAAATGGAACCAGTATCGATTGGTAGCCATCAAAGTAGCTGTCATTTGAGGTCCACAAAAGGCGAGCACCTTGGGAAGCACATCATTGGGACAACAGATTTCCAGCCATTGCATGACATTTTCGGGAGGACCTCCTTTGACCATGACACTGTTGGCCATTTTGTTCTTTTTGCTGCTGCGTCGGCGTCGGAATCGGGGCGGTCGTCCTGTCTTGACTGTAATGCTAGCACTAGTCGTCGGAATTTGCGAAGCCGATGACGATGCCACCGAAGAAATGGACAATCGTCGATCCATGCGATGCTCTGGCGGTGCGACTCCTCCTCCTTCACTACTACTACTGAGAGTTGCCGTCGCCACTTGGACTGGTCGAGATTGATGAGAGGCGGCCAATGATACTACAGAACGCTGCTTGTTGGCTACTGGCGCCGAAAAGTCACTCCGCATGGAAGAAGAAGTTGTTGTCGCTCTCCAATCGTCGGCGCTTTGACGGAGTGTCGTCGTCATGATTTTTGTTTTGTAAAGAGACACAATCCAAAAAGAGCGAGAGATCACTCGAAAGCTACTACTCCATTCAAATTAAATTACAAAACACTCCTCACACAACCGTGGACCTTGGAGTTGTTGTATGTGGGCAACCGTCGCAGATGTGTGTGCTTGTCCTTTCCACCGGAAAATCCTTCATTCACAAGCGTTTCCTCAGAAAAAAAGGCCATCGTCCCTCTGAACGCGCGCAGGTGTCGTGGCGACACCCTACAGCGATTAGAAGGCCCAGGTTTTTAAAAACTTTATTTAGCAGAGGTGCGAGCAACGCCCGCCAGGCCCAGAGTTTCAGTAAGGAAAACGGTTGCCAACGGCTATTGAAATGACGACAGTAAGCTCACTTGCATCACTCAAGATGACGTCAAGGCGCGATCACCTCGCCGCCTCCGCGAAACAACCAAAAAGATCTTTTGGACAAATCGGATTGTCCACTTGTCAATCTTCCGGGAAAGATACAAACGTCTCCCATTCAGGATCCAAGATAGGCTTCTGACAGGCCCAAAGCACCATCAGGGCAACGTGTTATGTTATGTTCTATTCTATCTACTAGCTAGCAACCGAGAAAGGGCTCACATCATCCATTCCTTGGATTAGACACTGGATGCTCAACTACGGTATTGACACTCAAACAATGATCATGGTGGACACTGCCAAATAGTTTCGTTTTAGATTAAATATGTGTAATTCACAAGCAATAAACCATAGAGACTGACTTGGACTTGACGACTTTTTGGCATTCCAACGCCAACGAGTTGCACCGATGGGCAACCTTCTAGTCGCAAGGAGGCGGGTTGGCGACTCGCGTACTATAGATACATGTAGATACCACACAAACGACACCAGATATTGGTCGCCTTGTTGAGATTTCTTTCCCGCCTCGGACTCGTGCAGATGTGCATACCGTACATGCAAATCAATATGCAGGATGAAACGACTGGTTCCCGGCTTTGATTAGGCCTCGATCTCCACCATGCCAGTGTCATCTTCTTTGACATCTTTGTCTCCTTCCGGGACAGGCGTGACAAACTCGGGGTCTTCGTGAGGCTGCGGAACAGCTAGCTTTTCTTCCGGAGTCTCCGTGGATCCTTCGACTGCTCCGTCCACAGGAGCAGGGGCCAGAGGGGCGTAGAGCGGAGGGAACACAACGCCAAGCGTAAACAAGGCCAAGGCAAAGACAAACGTCAACACTCCCAGCACTTGAAAGGGCCTCGTGACGTATCCCTCGTAGTGGCCAAATACAGCGTCCCCGTTATCGTTGGTCGTCTGAGCCAAGTTGACAAAGAGAATCAGCAACAAATGCGGCAAAAAGTACTTGATCATGTAGCACCAGAGTCCAGGAATCCATCCGACCACGGGTTCAATGAGATTCTTCAGTTCAAAGATGTTGCCAAAGCAAAAGTCCCAGTAGAATTCCAACGGACTGCTGCTGTTGCTTGCTCGCAGCTTGGGTTGCAAGGGGACCCATGTTGCGACCAAACCAAGGGCCAAGAATACGACGCCTCCGACAAATCCAGACCAAATGGCATCGGTGTTGTCTTCCACGCCAAACCAAAGTCCACATGCGAGACCCACGGCTCCAAAGTTGGTAAACATAAAGGTGTAGACAGCCACGGCGCCAAACTTTTCGACCTGAACATCAATGTGGTAGATCCATCCCGCAGCAAAACATTCCAGGCAGCCTACCAGCAACATGACAAAGTTGATGTCTGCCGTGGAGGTCGTGACATGGTGAGGTTCGTGCAACGGATAACAAACATCTAGCCGCAATGATGTGAAAGTCACTCACAGTAATCAATGGTATCGAGGAAGATCAAGCCGGCATCCGTTGCATAAATCAACGACAAGAGAAAGGCAAGGCCACAAAAGAATGCGGCGATGATCCATCTACATACAGAAGCAAGTAAAGAACAGTGTGAGCCTGCAGGGCGCGAGGCAACCAAGCAAAAGTTGTTAGCAAGCGCTCACTTGGGAGTGTTGCGAAATGCAATGGTGTCATGGCAGACAGTCAACGCTGCCTCCAAGAGAGCAAAGGCGCTGTCAATGCCCAACAGAATCAGGTCAAAGAACAAGAGTCTAACCCAATGGATGCCCCCAGGTAGACGTGAGAGCACCACGGGCCAACTCCCAAAGACGAGTGCAAACGACTTGATCTCCAAATCATCCACTGGAACGCCTTCCAGGTAGGCCAAGTGACCCAGGGCTCCAAAGACAGCAAAGCCACTGAGAAAACTGAAGACCGAATTGCTGATAGCAATGACAAATGAATTCACGAGTACGGGCTCAGTGCTGGGGCAATGGCTTCCATAGGCTGTCATGATGCCAAACGTGATGCTGACAGAAAAGAAGATCTGAGACACAGCTGTTGACCAGACATCTCCTTGTTCGGTCAATACGGAAGTATCCCAGCGTCCAATGTATTCCTTGATTCCGTCCTCAGAACCTTCGAGAGACACGGCTTTTCCCAAAAAGACAAAGAGGAGAACAATTGGAAGGCCCATCGTGACGTAGGTGATTCTGCCGGTCGTCTTGACTCCAAAGGCAACGCACAAAAAGATGATGAACCACACCAAGAAGGTATAGCCAACATTTGGGTTGACCAATCGAGTGGGAGTCAGGTCCTCGTTGAGAGTTTCCATACCAATGATCTGATCGTAGAAATAGCCCACAGCTTCGGTACCTGTCACATTGGGCTTGTCCCACGGCGCATCATCCGACCAGGAGTCGAAGAAAGCGTGCAACACCCAAGCAATCAGCATACTGTAATAAGTGACCAGCATGAAGCCACAGGCAACGGAAGAGACTCCAACACCAGCAAAACGACGGTGGAAGCCTCCAAAGACACCAACGTCTCCGGTTTGCCAGTATTGTCCTGCCCATTTGCAACGAGGGGGGTGTGAGAGGATAGTTGCATTACACGAGACAGTTAGAAGAAAGCTTCAGTGACGCACCAAATGCAATCTCCAAGATCAGCAAGGGGATTCCCACCAAAAACAGGGCAAGAAGGTACTGAAACACAGCGTTGAAGGACAAGAATTGAGTATATCTAAGTTGAAAGTTTTGGCACTAACAGCAGGGCACTTCAGCCACACTGTACATACAGGAATGAAGAAGGCTCCGCCTCCGTAGGTTTTTGCCAAGGCAGGGAATCGCCATACGTTACCAAATCCAACAGCAGCACCAACTGCTGCAAAATAAAAGGCAAGACGACTGGACCATTGGTCGCTGGCGTCTCGGCGAGACACTCGGTCAGAAGCCTCAGCTTCTGGAGACGTAGGCGGTTCCTTGACTACGTCTGTCATGATCAATCTTCGATGAATGTGTTCTGAAAGAGGAAACAATAACAAGTCACAGTTTGTGAGAGGCTGACATCTCAAAACAACAAGTTCAGTTCAAGCGATGTCAAACCGGGAACACGGCAATGAAAGAGAAGCCTCTGAAGCGTCAATGTAACTGATGCATTGGTGAAGCAATCAGCAGGCTGAGCTCAAAGCAAACTGAGGTTGAAACGGCCTCCTGCTTGGATGTATTCGCCGTCAATTGACTCTCAACTTCACAACTGAAGCCCGGCAGCTCAGCGTCATCTCCAACAAAAGAGCAGCATGAGAAAAGCAGTCAAGTTTCTCACTTACCTTTTGATAAAGAGGTAGTAGTATGCAAGAGAAGCTCTTTTTATGGGAAGACAGCAGAAATCTTTGCAAGTGTGGTGGTAAAGTAGTTTTTCATGTGACGGAAAATGTGAAGCGAATTGGACGTGCAGATTGGATCTTTTGCCTGCGTCTGTGAGATTTAACAGCGAAGCCATGGCGCCAATCGGACCGTTCGTCTTCTCTAAATGACTTGTATCAATGGATGAAAAGGACTCTAAAGGCACATGAGAGATGCAATGCAAATACCAAACCAAAGGTTGCATCCAAAAGCATCTGCAGGGGAAGCTCTTTCTCAAGCTTCGCGAGGCGAGAGCAAACCGCAAAGGGCCACAGCAAAGGGCGGCTGGTGGGTAGTTTTACAAAGCTGACAGCCTTGAGGGTTCGGAATTCGTAGCTCCGAACCCCTGCATGCTATGATAGGTTTGTAGGCTAGGTGGCTGAATGTACGAGCTACTCGCTAGTGTGTGCTAGTAGGACGCGACCAGTAGCTCCCAACACAACCAGAAGCTTCTCATCAATCAAGGCTCCATCAACTTTTCGTTCTGGGTTGCGTACCGGTACCAGTTGTCGCGGGTCCCCAAGGTAAGTAGCGGTTTGACTAAAATTCGTATTTAGCTGGTTGGCTACCGGTACCGTACCGGTAGGTGGCCTATGCGACCGTTGCTTGCAGGTTTTACCAAACAGTTGTTTGCAAGCCAAATTTCGTGGCAGGAAGTTGGGTTTTATCCGTATCAGCAGGGGCTATCGCAGCCATGCATCAAAAAGTGAGAGTGCTAAATACTGTTCCGTACTACCCGCCGATCAATGGTTGGTGAGTAGTACTTCGCATTCATCCTTCTCATTTCCTCCGGTACGCCAAGCAATCTCTTGACAAAACAGGTAGCTACCATGCAGCCATTTTGGCCAGGTTCTGATTGCTTGCAGCAACAGGCACCCAGGGTATGAAATAAATGGCTGGGCACGGCGGGCAATCTTTGGAGGTGCGGGATATCAACTTGAGCTTTTCCGCAGCTTCAGAACAAGCAAACTGCGGTTGAACCGCAGGGCAAGGATGGGCGGGAGGGTTACGAACAAGGCTACGGTACTGCATGATGCGAGGACGCAATGGCCGTGGCTACGTGTAGCAGGCAGCCAGTGCCAGCCAACCGCAGAAACCTATTCAAGGGCGGGAGGAGCGCTGCCTACCGTGGCCAAGTGGCTGATGGCCACGTCAATCGCATTGTCATCCTGCCGCAGGGACCTGTTTATCATTACCAGTAGTAGTACCAGCTCCTCAGATTCAGGAATGGATCATGACATTAAATAAGTTAGTTCTAAAAGAGAGCCGAAGCCGAGCTACTTCTTGCAACTTCGAGCAGTGCCTAGCTACCGATGGGCTAAAAACGCGGCTAAAGCCAAATTTTGACCTTTAGCGGCGACTTTAGCCACAATTGAGTCTCTTCCAATATGCGTTCCTGTCGAGGCTAGTAGATCGAAGCAGCTCAAACTGTGCGAGCGAGAAACCGCAGGAAATCGGCATTCCCACTTCGGAAAGTAAGTGTCAAGGAAGCCAAAGCAAGTAAGTGATCAACACATGATCAACAACCAAAGTGGGGAGAAAAGAAAGCAACTTTTGAAGAAGAAGTGAGAGATGAAGTTGCCTTGACCAACGGTCAAAAATGAACGGAAAGCGATTCGATTCGTGTGGGGAGACCTTCGATCCCACGGCACATGCATGTCATTGCATGATGTCATTGACGTGGTGCGAGTGGAGCGAACTTTCTATCCCGCTTGCCAAGCTATCAGATAGCAAGCTTCAGTACAGTACCTGACAGCATCAAATCACCTGGAATGATTGCTAGCCATTATCAACTTAGTTGTTAGTACATGTAGATAGATAGATGTAGTTGTTCAGTGTTCAGATGTTATATTTACATGCTTTGTTATTAATTAGAAAGAAGAAAAGTGAGTACCTTTTTGTGAGGTGGTTTGTATTAGTACATGCGATTGTATGTATGAACAGAGGATCGCGGAAGGGGAGGAATGAAGCTGTGCCAGTGGGGTTGGCACTTGTATCATCATGTCAGTAATGAGAGGAAGTAGGTAGTATGTTCAATGTTCCGATTCATTTCATTTTCATGCTTGTTTGGCATCGAGTGCTCCCATGGCGGCCGCACATCGCACCGATTCTTGTGACGAGCTCCGGGCAACATCTCCGAGTTTTTGGAGATCGACAATGCCCGATGCTTTTTGGATTCGTTGTTCGTCCAAGACATTCTGATGAACCGTCTTGACCCAGAGCTTGCGGAGCTTGTAAATGGCGGGAGAAATCCCGGATTCGATACCGCGAAAGCAGTGCGTCGCAGAATCCAGTTCGTGGAGTTGCCCATTGACTTGATGGAACGCCATCATGGACTCTCGGATGCCCGTCTTGATGTTGGAGATATCGGCGGCTTGGTTCCAGGCGTGTTGCATGTCACTGCGGGGCATGTGACGGTAGGCAATCGTCGTTCGTTCCACAAATCGAACCGACTTTTTTGCACCACTAATAGAGCGCTTGATGACGGTCTTCTTCTTGTGCACGAAACGGGCTTTCTTGCCAGTAGCGTTGCTGCTGTTGGTAGTAGTTCTCACCTGGGCGGCGACCATGAAATCAGTTGGGAAACACATTATTGTTGTATTGTGTTGTAGTGTGATGTGATGTGATGTGATTTGAGTAATATCAAGATAATGAGAAAGATTGATTGATAGTTCGTAGTGTCAAAATCGGAGAAGGGTTGCAACGGAGCTGCGAGAGCGAATTGTGTGCCAAGAAAGAGGTCAAACGAGAATGTTGGCATCACGGAATCCAACAAAAAGATTGATGATGCGCAGCAATTCGTTGACAGGGCAACGTGTCCGTCTGTGACAAGAATTCTTCAAAGTGGCCAATCAAACGACAGAGGCATCATTGGAACAGCTTGAACGTTCGTTGCTTTAACTGTGAGGTGTATTGAAGTTCTGAGGAAGGGCACTTCAGAGAACTGCCCTTTCTGACAAGTCTTTTACATTGTTGTCCGACATGACTTACGTGGCAACGTTAACCTTGAAGCACGACAAATACGCATAAGTAGCTTACAAATGAACTTAACAAACAGAATTCTTGTCTAGTCACAAAGACCTTGAAGAAAGTCATTGAATGCCACAGAAAGGTCATAAGAACACTAAATGTCCGACATCGTAAACTTGTTGCGGTATTGGGATTCGTTCCATTGTCGTCCTTCACCGTCGAGGTCCTATCCATTCTCCATGTGTGTCCTCCGTGCATTCGCGAAACACATTTATTTTCGTCGATTTATTTAGGCGTACGAATCGAGATTTCATTCCTATCCATGTGACACACATATTGAATTCGCCATACAGGAAAGAAACATCACCTCGAATCCCCAACTCTAACGAAAACCACCGATCATTCGATCGAATCGAATCGAATCTTCAATCTACTAGCTAGCTATTAGCCATTAGCTAGCTAGCTACCAACAGACCAATCTTCACAACCAAGAAGGCTAGCAAAGTTATTAGCATGTAGGTTACTCTTGGTTAATGGCTTGGCTTGTTAACCTTCTTGGTTGTCGAGATTGGTCTGTTGGTAGCTAGCTAGTAAGACCGATTGAATTCGAATGACCACCAAATCGTATCTTGAATCGTAATCTCCATATTCCTCTCATTAGAGTTAGTGTCTTGTGGTTGGAACGAGTTCGGCCTGCTCTAACGTTCTGATTGGTCGTACGCGAAATCCATTTCCACGAAAGCTGCGGTACGGCGAATTGAGAATGTGAAATCAATGGTTCGCCGTACCGCAGCTTTCGTGGAAATGGATGGAAAGCAAGCCGATTTTAACAGTTAAGAGACGGTGTGCGCACCCAGTAGAGGCTGGGGGCTCATAAATCGTGTATCACCAATCCCACGAAACGAAGGTGATCCAAAGCAATAAAGTGACCCCTGAAGCAACAATCGAAGAAATAGTAGTGTACCCAAGCCAAAACAAGCTCAAAGGGTCACTTTATCTCTTTGGTTGACCTCCGAATCGCCGCTACTGGCTTTGATGTCAAATACATGAGGAAAAGACGAGTTGCCTCTTTCGACGCTCTACATGTACTGGAGGAAAGCCGCAATCAGAGCGAGTTTGGAGGCCGGAGCACCCACTAGTGTTTTCTATGCAACGCCGCAGCAATCTTCTTCCGCTTGTCTACATACGGAGAGGTGGATTCGCTTCTGCAGCGGAGCGAAATCCTGCTACTACAACAACAACCATTCCTCGACGACTACACCGCCTTTGAAGCTTGCGCTTGTTGCTACACCGGTAGTGGTAATATAGACGAATTATAGAACCCTTACTTGTATTTTAGGAGCGTCGTTTCGTTGGGTATCAGTCTCCGGAGCATCGTCATGGTGGAGGGATTCGATCCGGCGATCGATTGTTGTTGTTGTCGCTGCAGCCAACTTCGCGCCAATTCGAAAAGTGAAAAGACGCCAGCACGAGCCAAAAACGCGCGACCGCCTCCAGTTCTTCCGGGAACCGTCTCTTAAATAGATTTCACGAACCAAGGGAGGAATAAAGAGGTCACAATGACTGGTTAGGACCCCGCCTCAAGCCCACCTCTAGACCGGAGCTCACCGTGCGAGGGCTCCAGTATCCTGCGAGGTTTGCTGTATCGGTGTGTCGGGTGGTTTGAGTTGCTTGTTGTGCTTTCCAAGTTCGCCGAGAGCCCTCCTTACTCAACAGTTAGTCTAGCTAGTTCAACTGTTGAAGCCAACGTCAACAACAACCAGTATTCGCCATAAGAGGGGATGAAAAGCGCTGGTTCAACAACAGTGGTCTGATGACTTGGAGGAGGAAACTGGAATTATTGCAATCGCCCTCTGCAAAGCCCAGAGATCGTTACTGGACAGGCCCGTCACTCCTCATCCTAGCCTTCCGAGCTCACGCCGTTGATGAACTTCAAACAGTGATCAAAGTACTGTGTGAATCGAGCCCAGTACCGTAGGGCAACACCACCGTATCAACTCTTACAGTGTACCACCAAGAGCGGCAGGCATTTATCTGATACTACAGAAGCTTGTGAGACCGAATGTTGCGATTAACAAGCACGCCGGAATCGAAAAGGGAGCAAAGATAGACTAGTCAGTCGGGTGATACTGGTGATGGCATGTATGTTGTGAGCGTTATACTAGTATCATAGATGAGCTAAGCTGGGGCCTGGGGGCAGCCATAGAGGGAGCTCATCGGCCGAAACGGCGGGCACATCGACCGCTTCAGGTCTCGGTGTTGCCGACCGTGTGTGACCGCTGCGGCTAGAATGATGCCAGCCGCGTATCGATCTACTCCGCCACAAATGACTCGTCCCGGACACCATGAAGCGTACGCAGTGTCTCGCCCGCACACAATGCAAAAAGGTCTCCTCATGATTCCCTGGACCAACGACAATCCCAAAGGAGATGCACAATCCGACATCCGCAAGATCATGGCGTGTTTCTTGTAGCTCGACAGACACAGCCGAATAATCCACACCCAACACCAGCAAACCATCAGCCGTGAATCCCGAATCGCCCAGCGTTGGCCACAAAGCATCAGCACTGACAAAAAACTACGGCAACCCACCAGTCGGAGGGACAGCCGCACCATTTCCTGCCCTAAAGACTAAGATCAGGCCACTGAAAGAGACGAATCTTTAAGGACCGGCGGCAATCTGGTGAGCGACCAAAAGAAATCGCGTTAAATGCCGAGGAAACTATACGCAAACCGATCATACTGTCAAAAAGAAGACAATAAATTCAACATCCCCAACAACACCAGCCTCCATCAGCTCGAAGATAATGCCGCTTTGGTCCAGTCCACCGACACCACATGCATAAAAATAATAAAGGACTAACGTAAAAACAACACATCCAAGTAAAGCCACATAGAACCAACCACCAAAGCCGGTGACATGGACGTGCGCAACCCGAAGTTCGTTCCGGCAATCCTCATTGGGAATTGTCTCCCCAACAAGGCTACCACCGAACATTGTGTGCCCGGAGCAGAGACAACGCGTACAACAGGCATTCAATGGTGTCGCGGACGAGCTCATCTTGTGGCGGAGTAGCCATCGATCACGGGCTGGCAAATTCATTCAAGCCAGCACGGTCACAACCGGTCGGACCAACGAAGACATGAGCGGCGATGTGCACAGCACGTTTCGGAAGGAAATGAGCTCCATCATTGCTGCCACCAAGGCCACCAGATTAGAAATACATTAATAAATGATACTAGTATAACGCTCACAACATACATGCCATCACCAGTATCACCCGACTGACTAGTCTATCTTTGCTCCCTTTTCGATTCCGGCGTGCTTGTTAATCGCAACATTCGGTCTCACAAGCTTCTGTAGTATCAGATAAATGCCTGCCGCTCTTGGTGGTACACTGTAAGAGTTGATACGGTGGTGTTGCCCTACGGTACTGGGCTCGATTCACACAGTACTTTGATCACTGTTTGAAGTTCATCAACGGCGTGAGCTCGGAAGGCTAGGATGAGGAGTGACGGGCCTGTCCAGTAACGATCTCTGGGCTTTGCAGAGGGCGATTGCAATAATTCCAGTTTCCTCCTCCAAGTCATCAGACCACTGTTGTTGAACCAGCGCTTTTCATCCCCTCTTATGGCGAATACTGGTTGTTGTTGACGTTGGCTTCAACAGTTGAACTAGCTAGACTAACTGTTGAGTAAGGAGGGCTCTCGGCGAACTTGGAAAGCACAACAAGCAACTCAAACCACCCGACACACCGATACAGCAAACCTCGCAGGATACTGGAGCCCTCGCACGGTGAGCTCCGGTCTAGAGGTGGGCTTGAGGCGGGGTCCTAACCAGTCATTGTGACCTCTTTATTCCCCCCTTGTTCGTGAAATCTATTTAAGAGACGGTTCCCGGAAGAACTGGAGGCGGTCGCGCGTTTTTGGCTCGTGCTGGCGTCTTTTCACTTTTCGAAATGGCGCGAAGTTGGCTGCAGCGACAACAACAACAATCGATCGCCGGATCGAATCCCTCCACCATGACGATGCTCCGGAGACTGATACCCAACGAAACGACGCTCCTAAAATACAAGTAAGGGTTCTATAATTCGTCTATATTACCACTACCGATGCAGCAACAAGCGCAAGCTTCAAAGGCGGTGTAGTCGTCGAGGAATGGTTGTTGTTGTGGTAGCAGGATTTCGCTCCGCTGCAGAAGCGAATCCACCTCTCCGTATGTAGACAAGCGGAAGAAGATTGCTGCGGCGTTGCATAGAAAACACTAGTGGGTGCTCCGGCCTCCAAACTCGCTCTGGTTGCGCTTCCTCCAGTACATGTAGAGCGTCGAAAGAGGCAACTCGTCTTTTCCTCATGTATTTGACATCAAAGCCAGTAGCGGCGATTCGGAGGTCAACCAAAGAGATAAAGTGACCCTTTGAGCTTGTTTTGGCTTGGGTACACTACTATTTCTTCGATTGTTGCTTCAGGGGTCACTTTATTGCTTTGGATCACCTTCGTTTCGTGGGATTGGTGATACACGATTTATGAGCCCCCAGCCTCTACTGGGTGCGCACACCGTCTCTTAACTGTTAAAATCGGCTTGCTTTTCATCCATTTCCACGAAAGCTGCGGTACGGCGAACCATTGATTTCACATTCTCAATTCGCCGTACCGCAGCTTTCGTGGAAATGGATTTCGCGTACGACCAATCAGAACGTTAGAGCAGGCCGAACTCGTTCCAACCACAAGACCCTCTAATGAGAGGAATATGGAGATTACGATTCAAGATACGATTGCGTTGGTTCATT